GTAGAATTCTTCGTAGAAGCTTCGTCAACAGCACGTGACCGCTAACCTACTCGCAGGAGATAACCCATCTGAGCCTGTGCTCATTCACCAGTTGTACAAATCCGTCCACTCCTCACGGACATCAACTGAAGGTGCGACAATACCTTCAAATCCAAAGTCATGTTGTATCTTTCTTCATATCAAGCAACTCATTTCTGTTGTATCCAAATCTCCCGCCGTATAATAGCCAATATTTCGAATTAAGTCTATAGACCTCGTCGCTGTCCACCCTGAATCCCAATTCACTCTCACCTCCTCTCCAGGCGTGTAGTCATCCTACATAGAACCCATATGCTACTCTGCCACTCCCCCACTTGGTTAAATTCACTCCTTTAAGCAACTACTCGACCCCTGTTTCTTGCACTTGGCCTTCTAGAAGCTTATCCACCGCGAGACACCTCCCGCATATCCTCCCTCATCCTTCGCTGCCCAGTTGTTGCCTTAAGTCAAAATCCATCTCTGTAGCACTTGAACCATCAGGTCGCTACTAATTGTTTTTAACCCCTTTCGAAGATCATCTTCCTCGAGTCATCAACACCAGGATCACCGATTCAATCCTGAACTATTGCACACCGCGACCTTTGATAGCCATTTCTCCAGCACTATCTCATACTACCCTGCCCCGAAGGCAATTTGATGAAGACCATAACACCGGCGAACTTAACGTATTCAACAAGAACAATGACACCTCATCACAGATGAAAATTCCACCATGCTCGAAAATACCAAGTCCCGCTACTCCATTAACCCAAGTCTGAATATTCTTAGTTCGATTGCCTTTCCTCTGTCAGAAATAAAATACTGAATCTCTGAATCATGCACTAAGTAAACCTCCTTTCAAGTCATTCACTGCCCCGAGACATAGGCAAGCATCCTACCATCACATCAATAATGTGCGATAACAACTCATGAGCATCATAACAATCTGTGCATAGCCTCAAAACTCTCAGAAGTACAACTACTGAGCTGAAATAACAGAATATCCTTCCACAAGGCGACGACAATAGCCCAATCAACTACGTAGGGAGAAACATCTTGCACCATATCTGTAGTACCATTACAATTCCTCAATTCCCGATTTATAACAAGCGTTCCACGTCACACAAGATTGAATAGGAAAGAAAAAAAACATAAGCCTCAAAGGAATTAAATCGCACGATGAGGAATCAAGAAGAGAAGTGCTCCTAACAGCCCTGTAGCCTCTCGAAGATAAGTATAGACATCTCCGTACCAATCCGCAAGACTCTACTAGACTTGCTCAGGACTCGTGAGACCTAAGTGACCCTAGTGCTCTGATACCATATTGTCACGACCCAAAATCCTTGAAAGGTCGTGATGGCGCCGGACACTACTGTCAGGCAAGCCAACACCAATAATTAGTAAAATCTCATTTTAATATTCTTGAAATCATAGTTTTCCCCATCAATTAAATAGTAAAAGATGGAGTTTACAAAATACATAATAATATCTTTAAAAATTCCAATACAGTGCAACCCATAATCATCCTAAAATCCGGTGTCACAAATACATGAGCATTAACTAGGAATGTAAAATAAAATACAACAACTGTCCGGAATAAAAATTGGACAGGAAAAATGTAAGTACTCTGAAGGAGACTCTGTTGGTTGCGGAGCGTCGTATAGAATGAAGCTCACCTAAGTCCCCACCATAATCGCGCCTCTACGCCCACAAGTCCGCTAATCATATGTGTACCTGCACAAAAATATGTAGCAAGTATAGCATGAGTACGTAAATCAACGCGTACCCAATAAGTATCCCGCCTAACCTCGAAGAAGTAGTGACGAGGGATCGACTTAGATACTTACTATGGGCTATAATTAATATATCAATGATATGATGAATTATGGATTTTATGAGGCAACGGTAAACACAATAACATGAGGCAGGTAAATAATTCTCTTGTTAATAGGGGATTTTCAAATTTATCTTCATCTTTTAACAATTTAAATCTCCGGCCAATGAGGCCATATCAATTATCAATAATTCCCAAAACAATCAATTAAGTCATGCGCAAATCATGCCTAGGTCGTACAGCCCGATCCAAAAAATATTTAAACTGTGTATTGCCAGAGGGTCGAATGGCGCAAACCATAGATGCATCTATTTACTACCGAGGCGCTCGGTCCGATCCACAAATAATAATTTTTTTTCAAGAAAACACAAGTTTCTCATTTACAGTCAAGTATCTCATACCAACCTTCAAGTAAGTGAATTTAACCTTATACAATCCTTTCATCAATTTCTATCATGACTAAGTGATAATATTAGCAAGTAAGGGTACAAACATTCCAAGTATAGCATGATACGGGTCCTAAACTACCCGGACAATAGCATAATAGTAGCTACGTATGGACTCTCGTCACCTCGTACGTATGTAGCCCCCACAATTAGGTACAAACATTTATTTAATTCACCTATGAGGTTAATTCCCTCTTACAAGGTTAGAAAGGAGACTTTCCTTGCTCCGAAACTCCATAACTGGCTCCCAAGCCGTTCCATCAACTCAAATCGATGCCCAACGCTCCAAAACTAGTCAATAGTTATGCAAACCCATTAATATATACTCAAATACTCGTTATAATCCTATTTACAACAATTCCCAACTCCGCTTGAAAAGTCGATAAAATCATCCTCGGGCCCGGATTTTGAAATATTTCGAAGATAAACTTTGCCCATGACATCACAGATTCAAATATATAATTTATTTTCAATTCTATATCCAAAATTCGTGGTCAAAAATTCAAATATACAAGATTCTAGGTTTTTCCACCCAAGCCCCAATTTCTACTAATTCCCATGTTCAAATCCATATAAACTCATGTATTTAACTCAAAATTGTGAAGAAAGCACTTACCCCATTATAATTGATGAAGATGGCACTCCAATGTGCTCCAAAATCGGTTCCCATGGGCGAAAATGAAATGAGATAGATCCAAACCCTCACTTTAAAGAAGACACTACCCAACCTTGACTTCCGCACTTGCGGTGCCTTGGCCGCATCTGCGGTCCCGCACCTGCAGAAATTCCATCGCAGGTGCGGCTCCAGCTCGGCCCAATATTTTCGCACCTGCGCTCCATGCGGCGCATCTGCGCGTCCGCTCCTGCGTTGCTCTCTTCGCACATGCGCCTTCGCAGGTGCGCAAATCTTTCCGTTCCTGCGGTTCTCAGCAGCCTGCCCCTTCCGCTTCTGTGAGCCATTTTCCCGCACCTGCGGGCTCGCACCCGCGGGCCTCTTCACGCAGGTGCGGTTACACCATATGCTGAGCTGCTTCAGCCCTTCTTCAAATTTCAATTTTGATCCGTTAACCACCCGAAATCCACCCAGGGCCCTCGGGACCTTAACCAATTATACCAACACGTCCCAAAACACATTACGAATTTAGTCGAGCCTTCAAATCACATCAAACAATGTCGAATTCATGAATCGCACCCCATTCCAAGCTTAATGAACTTTAGAATTTTAAACTTCTACATTCGATGCCGAAACATATTAAATCACGTCCAATTGACCTCAAATTTTGCACACAAGTCACATTTGACATTACGGACCTATTCCAACCCCCGGAATCGGAATCCGACCCCGATATCAAAAAGTCCACTTCCGGTCCAACTTCTCCAAAATCTTCAAATTTCTAACTTTCGCCAAATGACCTTAAAATGACCTATAGACCTCCCAATCCACATCTGGATGTGATCCCAATACCAGAATCACTATAAGGAGTTATTCCCAAAGTCAGAATCCTGAACGGACATCGATAACATTAGCATGTACTTCTACCCAAATTTATGAAATTCTTCCAAAATGCTAACTTCCACAATAGGCGCTGAACCGCTCCCGGGTCATCCAAAACCCGTTCCGCACATACGCCCAAATCCAAAATCATCATACGAACCTGTTGGAACCTTCAAATCCCGATTCCGATGTCGTTTGCTCAAAAATACAACCTTAGTTAAATTCTTCCAATTTAAAGCTTTCGAAATGAGAATTTTCTTTCCAAATCAACTCCGAACTTCCCGAAATCCAATTCCGACCACGCGTACAAGTCATAATACCCGAAGTGAAGCTACCCATGGCCTCAAACCACCGAACGACGCGCTAGGGCTCAAAACGACCAGTCGGGTCGTTACACCTTACTCGTAATTTGATACTTAAAAACACTTTTTGAAAAGTTTGGCCAAACACAAATTATTGCTCAAAAATAATTTTCAGAGTGATTAGCCAAACAGAAACTGGTTCAACTACTTTTTTTCAAAAGCACTTCTCAATTGGCCAAACAACCTATTATCTTCCTCAGCTTTACAGCTTGTTTGAATGGTTGTTACTCATTGTATCGTACTGTATTGTTATCTCAAAACAATATTTGTTTTGATTGTTTCATTAAAATTAGTTGTATTGTAATGTTAAATTCATTGTTCCGGAACAATGAAAAGTCCCATTTTTGAAACAACCGATTTGGTGTGGTGGGATTGTTTCCTATTTTTCTTTTCAATTATGCCCACTTATTACTCCATAATTCTATTTTACCGTTTACTTTTTTAAAAAAAAAAAATTTTAACTCCAAATCTCCCACCTATAACCTACTTTGTCTTCGTCCCTTTTTTTTTAACAACTTATGTCGCTTCCAACTTCAACCTAAAATTACTAATTTTGTTAGAATTTGTATGAATTTAATTGTTTAATCTATGTTTAAGACATATTTGGTGATAAATTAGTAGAAAAGAGTTTTCTTAAATTATTTTTATGTGTAATTATTGATAAATTTAATATTTAAACAATTGAGGGTATTTTAGTAAACTTATCGGTCAGAGTACCATACATCCAAATCAAACTACAAAAATATTATTTAACAACTTCAAATAATACAATTGATCCAAATATTATATTTATATAACGATATAATACAATACAGTACTTACATAATATAATACATTATGAAACAATAAGCACCAATCTTGGCAATAGAGAAGCACAAAGAAATACATAGCGCTCAAAGGATGGCTTGCCTGCACGATCACGATTGCGCCGACCATAACTGTTCCTCCGATTGGTCTCTCTTCAAGCATATTGACCTTTCTAAGGTTCTCTTCCTTATGTTCTTTTAGTGTGTGTGTGTGTGTGTTTTCTTGTAGATTAGACTTCAGTGATAAAGATTCCTGCTGGATTAATATCATTTATCAAATACTGGATGAACCCACTTACGCGAACTATTTTGGCAACTTGGGGTCGAATGATTTGTTGATTCTTGATTGAACTGCAATTTGATTATTTTATACAACAAATTAAAACTGCTAGTGTTTTGGGTTTCTTGGTTATAGTATCAGCCGTCCTTTAGGTTGTTACCAGGTTGGAAATGGGGTGGGGTTTTTGAGTATTACTACTGTAATAAAGAACCTTTTTTTTAAATATTGTTGGAACTTTTAACTGTCAGTCAGTTCTATAGTAAGGGCTGCTCCATTTCGAGCTAGAGGTGCTGACTTTTGTTGTGATAAGCTCTATATCTTGATAAAATTGAGAAGACGGTGCGAGTGGAGTTAGAAAACTTAGTGTAGTTGCGAATTTCAGCTCTAATGAGCCTGAATAGTTCTAGAAATAGTGTCACTAAAGCTCCAATAAGAAATTTGATATGCTGTTGTTTCTTTTATTGACTAGGCAAATTGATCATCCATATTCTAATTGCAAACTCATTGAGCTAAATTCTAAGGACAGCGAAAGTTGTGAGAGAAGTTAGTGTTGATTTTGGAATATATTTTAAATCAAAATGCCAGGGGCTTTTTGATTGGTGGTTCCCACGTTAGAGATGGATGTAAACTTCAGAATTGTGATCCTAGAATTGCACATGCTCAGATTAACTTGTGCATATATTTATTAGCTTCTTCAAGTTCCTTATACTTTAACTTTTTTGTGGTGCCAAAAGGTGTCTGCTTTGAACGAGGCTGTCAGAGGAAGTGTCAAATCCGTTTTTAAACCATGGGAGCAGCGTTTGAATACTTCGGAGGTAATCTCAGACCAAAAATGGCTTGATCTAGACCAAATAATCCCTTAACCTTTTCTCTCCGTGATATTATGTAGTCTGTAGTGATTATTCAGTTTGTCCGAGATTCAATAGGTTCAATAGTCTTCTTATCTTAGTCTTCTTGTTCAAAAGAACACACATTTTATGCTTGGTGCTTCTTGGAATTGAATATATCTCTTAAACCTACTATTGCATAGGGGAAAAAAAAGGGAACAAAGTTCTTTTAACGAAGTATTATTTTTTGAAAATTATGGTGTAAGTGCTGCTAGATGCCGGTGTTTGCTTGACATGGAAAATCTTTCTTCACCTTATTAATTTTGACATTAATAATAAATGTCGGTGTAATTAAAAGCATCATAGTCTCACATACATCTATATTGTCATCCCGATTGATTATTATTTTTGCATACTCAAGGACTCTACTTTGTTTTAGTTCTATATAAAACCCTGGTAAGAATATAAAGTTATATCAACAAGATGGTGAAGTCTACCAGGAAAGGAAGACAAGTTGTCTGCAAATAAATAAAAGTTGTATAATGTCATATGCATTAAAGCCGATGCTTGTAACTTTTAAGTTATCCAACATTCTTCTTCCCCAGAAAGAGAACTCCTTTTATGTAACTCCCTTCAATATCCAAAAGCAGATTTTTAAATTGATTCCTTCAAGTACTTGTGAGACACTTTAACCAAATGGTAGCAAAGTTTTTTCTCTTCGCAGGTAACCTTAATAGCTTTCTCTAGGGTTCTTTGTTAATTTTTCTTTGGAGCAAGGGCACTTTAAAGTTTTTCATTGACTTGATAAAGTATAACTATTAGATGTAATAGAATGATGTGCTGTATCCAGACTAATACCAATTTTAGCCTCTTTAAGGAATAAAATGTGACCAATTAACCGGCCAACACACCCACTTGTTACAAGTAACTGTCTTGTTGTTGCATCAAAAGCGATACCATTGACTATTTTGCTAACATTCAACTTGGTAAAAAGAGATTACTCAGGAATACCCATTGGGTTGTGATATTACTTCTGATATTAGCAGTTGTCTTTCTTCAAATGTTTAAGGAAAGACAACAGGGTGCTAACTTTTTTCTATAAAGATATGAACTTCTTTTTTATAAGTAGTTGTGTATATAGATGAACTTACCTCATTATTTCGCGAAATTTGATCCGTTTTTATTTCTCGTTGGATGTCTTTATACTTTGACTTATTCTTTGATACAGGGCCACCTGGAAAGCAATGAAGGTGATCCTGAACTAATTGTTTTCATTCCGTAAGTGCCAACTTTGTTATTTATTCTGCTTTTGCACAGCCATCTGGTTTGTTTCTGATGGGCTGCGTTCCTGTCGCCGACACATTTTGACATTCCTTTTCCTCCATGTCTCTCAGTCACCTTCAAAAATGCCCCTCGCCCCCAAATGTTCAATACTAATGACATAATATCTGTTTAATTTGAATATAAAAATTTAACTTTCTGGATGCTTTTCCGAAATTTACTTGTTTCCCTATTTACAAGATTTTCATTCTCCTTTCCATTCTTGTTGAACATATCGTAATGATGATTGTTTCACCCCTAAGGTATCTTCCTGTCCTTTGTTTGAATCAACTGTTCTCACTTGTTCTCATTCAAATAATAAACCGGTCCAGTTAACAAAGTAGGAGCTGTAAGAAAAGGTTTTACTTTGATTCATGTTGCAGCTCGTCTCTTTGAGGATAATGAAGGAAAAATCTTTTTAGAGAGGTTGATTGCTGCAAAGTTTAGAAGTTGTGGAAGATGAACATGAAGCCAAAGGCAAAAAAAAAATGTTGATTATAAGAGGATGAACCTTTATAAGGTTGTTTCTAGTTCTATTGTCAAGAAAAAGAGTAAACAGAAAGAGGGATGAGGGGGGAGAGGAGTAATATTTCTTTTTCTTTTGGATTGATTGTGAAAGAAAAGGAAGGAATGAGTCTCATGTGATATCAGTTCCCTTGATGAACTATTTCTCCTTCAAAAAATTTGAAGGTCTTTTCTGGCATTATAAATTTTTATTTAGAAGGTCCTTCAGTTCCTGCGTCTTCACCCAATTTTGGACTTGGAAACGAAACATAACATTTTGTTCACCACCGTTTATCTCCATTCCCCTCTTTCTGCCTCTCCATCTTTTTTTGTCTAAATGATTCTCCTGCATTTTTTCCGTTTCTCTTTCCGAACCTGGGTTTGTTGTTGTTATTGTTGTTCTTTCCGAACCTGAAACTTTCCAGTACAATATGGATGATTGGATGCCTCCTTTTTCATTCTTTTGGCTAGCGCTTGAATAAGAAATTTTAGGATCTATTACAATATAACTTTCCAAATTTCTTTGCTGTAATTTCCACCACTAAAGTAATTAATTCATCAACTAGATATTGCTGAAATCAGGTATTATCAAATCATGTTGATCGTGTTACAGAAATAGCAGCACGAAGTGGTTTATCTTCATTGTGGTTTGAGAACAGAAAACTGTGTCTGTAGATATTGATTGCTGTTCTCTTGGCCATCCAATTCATCTTATATTCGTTGGCTGAACTCAATCATGATAGGTTCACAGCAGATGTTAAAATCAAGAGCATAGCAATTGTCGGCGGCGCTGATGGAACAAGTCCAGCTAAAATGAGAGCGTGAGTATAGTATTAACACTTCTTGCTTTGTCTGTTCCCTTTTCTCTTAGCTAGCACATTCAATCTGCTGCTGGCTGCTGCCACTTATAATGATTCTCTTGAACATGTATCTTAGAAGTTTTATCTGCCCTAATACACTCTTGCAATTAATACAGGTTCATCAATCGGGATGGCATTGATTTTTCAGATGCTCAATCTATGCAACCAGTTCAGGTACTTATATATAGGAGTAACCTTTTTATTCTTTCTTTTGTTTTCGATAGGTCCAGTTCAGGTATTATCTCAAGTTAGCTTTTGAAAGTTTTAATGCCTAAAACACACTTCCTCCTCCACCCCAACCACTTGTGCTGATACTTGTTTTACTTGTAAGGAGTGGGATTTAGCCGAAAACTTGCAAGGAGTTTTAGAGTACCAGACAAGGTATATTTCTTTTATCCTTAACATTGCTGCTGCATGGTCTTTATGGCAATTTTGTAATTGCAACTCTGTACACTGTTCCCGCACAAGCATGCACATACACTGGCATTTATATTTCATAAGTGCAATTTACATAATATAAATTTTCCGATATTTTCATGGAGCAAATTGTTCAGATCACTGTTATAGAAGGTTGCTTATATTCTGGCTGTATATTTTGGTTGTCTCATGCTGTCTGTAAATATTTATTCAGGTATTCTAGGTTTCAGAGTGTGGGAAATATCACCTTGCATTTCCCTGATAATTTTGGCGGTGATGCAACACAAATACATTATATTGGCTTGAAAGGAGAAGCCACCCAGGTAACCAGAGTGAAAAATGTTTGAATTCCATGGTCACTGGTTTCAGATATTTATCATAACTCGTTTCCGAAATAATTTTGTACAGATGAAGAGGGACGTTGTTGCAAATATTGTTTATGAGGTTGTACCTAACCCCTCTGATCACAAGTGAGTTACTCTTTACCCTTTAGAAAGATATTGTATGTTGGGTTTCTGCAGCGTTATTCCTACTTTGGTAGTTTAATTTAAATGCAAAATCAACGTTAGTTATGTCTCGGAATTCCTGTAATGGCTTCACTCTCTGGTAGGATATGAATTATTAAGTTGCAGATTGATGATTACGAGCAAATTTGTTCAGGTAGTCGTCATGTATAATACTAGAGAAAATTCAAATCGAGTTAGCTTGCAGATTATCAGTAGAAAATTTACGCTGGCAGTCCCCGATATCTTATACTCCCTCCATCCCATTCTTTGGAATACTATTTGATAGCATGGAGGTTGAAATATTTGTTTGACTTGTTTAATATATAAAGTAGTTTGTAGTAGAACAAAATACTATAGTAACAGTTTTTTTAATTTCAGTAACAAATATATACTATAGTAATAGTTGAAAAGCAAGTTGGGCGGAGAAAATATCACATCAAATTTAAACTATGATTTATTAAATAAATTTTAGTTCTTGAAACATGTACAAGTTATCTAAAGTAATTTTATTAGTTGATGGTGTCAAACATTTTGAGATATCCCAAAATAGGAAGAGTGAAATAACTTGGGGAGTACCAATGTACTTTATCCTAAATGCATGAGGCGGTTACATGTTTTGTTGGGCTGCAGACAACAGGGATGTTTAAGCTTTTAAATGGAAAATGTACTAGCGCTCTTGAGTTTTTTCTTTGACTAGCATAGCCCCTAGCCTCATGTTTCTCCCTGATGAATTTTTACGTTACTTTTCAAAAACCAAAAAAAAAACATTACATTAAATTTAAAGAGTTTAAAGCACTTGTATACATACTAGTAGAACTTTTCTATTTTTTATATATTATTGGAATGTATACGATGTTGCAAGAAAACTTGATTTTTGGAGTTCTCCGCCACATAATTTGAGTAAGTTCAGCATAGAGGTATTGATGCTTAAAAATGTATGATGCTCGGCACACAAGGATGTAGTCTAGCGGTCAATATAGTGGGGAAGAACATGAGGTTTCAGGTTCAAATCCCCGGAGGCAAAAACACTAGGTGATTTCTTTCCATATGTCTTAAAGCCTCGGTGGGCAAAGCTGGTGGGAGGTAGCATGCACCGGTAGAATAGTCGCGAGGTGCACACAAGTTGACCCATACACCACTTACGTAAAAAAAAAAAAGGTTGTTTGATGCTATGATCTATTTCCTTGGAGCAACGTATATGCTGTTTGGTGCAATATACTTATCCACTATTGTCAACCCGTCCACCATGTATACATGTAAAGTCAGGCTGCAGCTTCTTTCCTTTCTGGTGCAATTAGGCACCTCCCTTACACCCCCTCCGGCCCATTACTACATTCCTCTAATTTGGCTTTAGCTCCCTTTTGCATTTTTATGTTGTCCATTAGTCAACTAAATGATGGTATATATGTGTGCAGGACTCGAGCTGAGGGCGGCGGAGGCCTTTCACGTGTGGAATAAGTTGTGCTTTAGGCAGCTCTCTTTTGTAGAGTGCTTTCTTTCTTCTGTATACTGATAGAACCTGTACTCAAAATATACCCAGGAATCATTAGATAATTTACTGAAAAGTGCATTTACTTCTTCCTGTTAACACGATACAGTGGATAATCACTTATTACTTGTGACATATCACCTTCCACAAGAAGGGTGCCATATCTACACTCATTCGAGCTTTGAGATTTGTCGTACTTCTCAGAATCGGATGCCAGAAATGGGTTTCAGGTGTCATTCTTGCCTTTAAAGGTTTCCAGTTTCTGTTGCTTTATTGTGCCAACGAAAGCTTTAGTCTGCATTTGCACTTATCAGGAAAATGCTGATATTAGAGTAGATTCTTGGGCTTTCGTGGTGCAAATCATCGGTAGCTTAAGCAGATGGTTATGGGGCAGTGGGCACTAACCTCATAATTTATCATTGCAAAATTTATGTACCTTTTGGAGCCTAGCTGGGTATAGTGAGTTCCTTTTTTTGTTTGGTGCATCTTTCCTGCGATTCAGTGCTTGAAAACTCCATCCGACCTGTGCTTCTCCATGCATATGCATGAAGAGTAATTTTGTGCTGTCATTCCACCTTTATATTCAGTGGCGGAGCTACAATGCTTCAAGGGTGGTCAGGCGCACATCATTCGCCGGAAAAATCCACTGTGTATATAAGTAAAATGTTGCTCTATTTTAATATATACAATAGCTTGCACACCCTTGACACAACTGTGTGATGTAGCCCCGTGGTGAAGGGTTTGCAAAATGTTCCACTGATGGTAGGTTGGAAACTCAATGCAAGCTTTTGGTACAACCCATTTGTTTTATATTTTAATATTTTCAAGAAGCAATATAAGTGTAACCTTCAGATCCACGTTTTCCTTTCCAAAGTAGAAGTGTCGTTCTTTTCCAAATCCCAGCCAACCTTTGACTTTCTTTTTCTTTTTTAATTTTTCAATAAACAAATATTAAAGATCATTATTTAATTGAACGCTACTTAATAAAAAATTCTAAAAGCTCTTTACTAGACCCAAACCTAACTTTGTCAAAATAGAAAAAAGAAACACAGAGGAGAGAAACAAAAGACCATCCCTTACTTTTTGCCTTGCTAGACTGTTGCGTTATTGTCGGATGCCCGTGAAATTTTACACTAACTCTAAATCTGATTCAATTTCAGCTAGAAACAGGTAGAGGCTTGAATCAAGAGCTTGGTCTTGTTAGAGCCGGGGACACTCGTTGGGGATCTCACTACAAGTAGTTTGAAAATTTTATACTTTTGTTTGACTCTATTGTTGATGTACTTGATACTCTTGTTGAAGATGCAATTACTTTAGATGAAAGAGCTAAGGTAGCATGATATCTTAGAAGTTGCCAAGCGTTTGAGGTTGCTTTCATGTTGCATTTTATGAAAGATATTTTGGGAATCACATATGATCTTAATAATATATCGCTTCACAAAAAGGAGCAAGATATTGCTAATGTTATGATACTTATTGAAGTAGGAAACAAAAGGCTTCAAAAGTTAAGAGTTGATGGATGGGATCTACTTAAAAATAAAGCATCTACATTTTGTATCAGACATAATATTCTGATACCCAATTTTGATAAGCCATATGCTAACTCTGGAAGATTACGACGTAAACTTGTTGATCATACTACTTTACATCATTATCGTGTGTATGTGTTTTATAAGATTATTGATTGGCAACTTGTTACGCCCCAACCTCGGGGAGCGCGACCGGCGCTCAACTGAGTGAACCCGGTCGAGCAAGCCTGTTAGATACTTTCTACCTAACTCACCCATGATCAAGAGAAAACAAGATTTCATTAATTAGACAGTAGGAAGATCATATATACAATACTAAAACGTCTAATTGGTTACATCATTTTTAAGTTTCAAGATACACATTCTTATGATTCGAGTGGAACAAGAGATCAAAACACAATTCGGTTATACCTTAAACGTGATAATAATATGAACAAAAGATACAATACATGACCCCGGGATGAAGTGGGGTTCACCAAGTCTGTTGGGAAGAGGATGTACCACTATCGCTGATCAACATTGCCTACTATGGAACCACATGCATCCATTTAAAGATGCAGCACTGTCACGACCCGAAATTTTTTACCGACGGGACCGTGATGGCGCCTAACATTTCACTTGCTAGGCCATCCAACGTTAGAGAATCATTAACCAATTCCTTATTTCCATTCAGTAATTAACAATAATTAACTAAGATGAAATATAATAAGTGCAGAATATCATAAATATGTATTAACTACTACCACCGGGATCTGGAGTCGCAATTCACGAGCATTCTAGAATTTGCTATAAGTAATAGTTAGAAAGAAATACAACCGTCTGAATAAAAGAAACAGTAGAACAGAAAAGATAGGCGGAGACTTCAAGGTCTGTGAACGTCGACAGATCTACCTTGAGTCTCCGGACAGCGAACCAATAGTAGAATCTCGATCAACCCGAGCGGTATCAAAATCTGTACAGAAAGTGCAGAGTGCAGTATCAGTATAACCGACCTCATGTACTGGTAAGTGTCGAGCCTAACCTCGACGAAGTAGTGACGAGGCTAAGGCAAGACACCTACAAATTAACCTGTACAATTTAATAGTGTATATAAAAATAATAGAAATGAAGAACTAAACAGAAAATGTCGGGAGGAAAACATAGTGAGGGGAATACAAGATAAAAAACTACAACAGAATGATCACTGGAGCAGTCAATATACCATGAATCAATATGAATAGTGAATACAATAAGGAAAAAATGTACGACATCACCCTTCGTGCTTTTACTCTCAATCTCATCATAAAAATCAATAGAAACGGCACGACATCACCCTTCGTGCATTAACTCTCATATCATGGCACGACATCACCCTTCGTGCATTAACACTTATAATATGGCACGGCATCACCCTTCGTGCATTAACACTCACAATATGGCACGGCATCACCCTTCGTGCATTAACACTCACAATTTGGCACGGCATCACCCTTCGTGCATTAACACTCTCCCTTACTATAATGCAATGCATAAATATCAATAGGGAGATAGAATAGCAAGTACAAACCTTACCTCAACATTTGGTTCCATAACATCAATCTCAACTTGAAATAAAAACTCAATTATCACCAGAAAATCCGTAAACATGATGAGAACGATAAATTGAACAACACTAGTATAACACATCGCAATTAGGCATAGGGTTGAGACAATATAAGAAAAACTGAGAAACATGAAAAACTGGTACATTGGCGGCGCATAAGTACTCGTCACCTCACATATACGCCGCTCGCATGAATTTCACTTAGCAAGTAATCTAAGGTTCCTAATTCCCTCAAGTCAGGGTTAGACATAACACTTACCTTGCTCTTAAGGCCACTTAATTCTCAATCACAGCTTTTCCTTTGGAATTGACCTCCAAACCACTCATATCTATTCAAAAATGACTCAATAATATTAAATTTTGCTAAAGGAATCAATTACATTGCATAAATTTAGATTTCCTAAATTTTTCTCCAAAAAGTAAAAAATTGACCCCGGGCCCGCTTGGTTAAAATTCGAGGTTCGGACTAAATTCCATTTACCCATTCACCCCCGAGTCCTAATATATAATTGGTTTCGGAATCCGACCTCAAATTGAGGTCTAAATCCTCAAATTTCGAAATTCCTAAGTTCTACCCAAAAATACTAATTTCACCATAAAAAATCTAGATTCTAGGTTGAAATCTTGTTATAAGATGTAAAAAATTGAAAGAAAAGAGTTAGGAATCACTTACCTATGATTTGGGAAAGATTTGGTCTTTGGAAAATCGCCTCTTACGGTTTTAGGTCTTGAAAATTTGGGAAATAATGAAAATTCCCGTCCAAAAGTCATTTTATTCAGCTACAGACGTTGCATTTGCGAAGGGGCTATCGCAATTGCGAATCCTTCAGCTGCCCTTCGCAAATGCGAGGAAAGTGTCGCAATTGCGATCACTAACCTCGCAAATGCGTACAAAAGATCGCATTTGCGATCTATACCCCTCCCAGACTCCCTTCGCAAATACGAAGAAAAGTTCGCAATTCCGAACACAGGCTGACCCGGCTTCTCTTCGCATTTGCGATTAGAAGTTCGCAAATGCGACCTCATCAGTGATCGCAAATGCCAACCCTGACCTCGTATTTGCGAGGTCTGAGGCCTGCAACACAACTGAAGCACACCAACTATTTTTCTAAGTCCAAATCACTCTGTAACCTATCCAAAACTCGTCCGAACCCTCGGGGCTCCAAACCAAATATGCACGCAAGTCTAAAAATATCATACGAATTTGCTCGTGCGATCAAATCACCAAAATAACACCTAGAACTACGAATTTAGTACCAAATCAAATGAAATTCTCAAGAATACTTTAAAATTTCTATTTTCTCAATTGGACGCCCGAATCACGTCAAATCAACTCCGTTTCTCACCAAATTTCACACACATCTCTTAAATATCATAATGAACCTATACCGGGCTCCGAAACCAAAATACGGACCCGGTACTAACAATGCCAAATATCAATCAATTCTTAAAAATAATCAATTTTCAGACTTTTAATTTTCATAAAAAATTCATAACTTGAGGTAGGGACCTCCGAATTCGATTCCGGGCATACGCCTAGGTCCCATAATTCGATATGGACCTATTGGGACCATCAAAATACGGATTCGGTCCCGTTTACAAAATATGTTGACCGATGTCAACTAAAATCAACTTTTAAGGCAAAAATTCTTATTTTCATTAGTTTTTAACATAAAAGCTTTTCGCAAACCTGCCGGGATTGCGCACGCA